GGAGTTTCTCTCTTCCTTATCTAATTCTTCTGGAAGCTTCTGGAACTTTTTCCTCTTGAGGAAATAACTTCGGGAGAGTTGGCTCCTCTAAACTGGTTCTTGGAGCTACACCTGAAGGAGCTACTTAAAAAAAACAGGGAGAGGGAAGAGGTGGATTCAAACCAAGAATCTTGAGGTCTCACCCCTGCTTTTGGGAGGAGTATAGTATAAATAGCTTCAGACATTATTGTATTCGGCATCATCAACATGGCTGTGGGGAGTCCCAGGCCCCCTTTTAATGAACAAATTAGTCTTATTTATAGGCCAACTTTCTCCAGATAATATTAATATTGATGTATGCCAGCCCATGGTTCGCCAAAGAGGTTTTTGGTTTCACATGTTCATTATTTAAAAATGCTCTATTCTGTGTATGTGTGTGTGTGTGGATATATATACTGTATGTGTGTGTATGTGTATGTGTACTATGTCTGTGTACTGTCTGTGTGTGTGTGTGTGTGTGTATACACACACACACACAAACACTATATATACACACTGTGTATGTGTGTGTGTGTGTGTGTGCGCGCGCGTGCGTGTATGTGTGTGTATGTATGTATGTCTATGTATACACACATACACACACAAGCAGCAACAAATCTCAAGAGCAGAAGAGCCGGCTTGCACAGAGCCTTTACACAGGAGTCAGGTTCATGCAAACAGGATCCTCTCCACTATAGACCCTGTCATCAGCAGAAGAAAATGGCAGCATTGGGTGGAAATGAGGGGCCAGGAGCTCCCCTCAGAGGAGGCTCAGGAAACCGGATATGTCATGGCCTGAATTCCAGACAATTTCTGACTTGGCATTTCTCCTAGATGAGAAGCCAAGAGTGTATATGGAGGATTTCTTTTTCATTTGTGATCTTTGTAGAACTTGGAATTTAATGGCCCTGGCAATGAGCTTGTTTCATAATTGCATAGGGATTTTTCTTTTAAATTCTGTGTACTAGGCTAGTGGTTCCCAATCTTGGGTCCCTGGATGTTCTTGGACTACAACTCCCAGAAATCCTGGCTAGCACAGCTGGTGGTGAAGGCTTCTGGGAGTTGCAGTCCAAAAGGGATTGCAGGTCAACAAGAACAAAATTGGTTGTTGTGGGTTTTTCGGGCTTCTTGGCCGTGTTCTGAAGGTGGTTTTTCCTAACGTTTCGCCAGTCTCTGTGGCCGGCATCTTCAGAGGATAGCAAACTACGAATTTT